TATCTTTTTCATTTGTCTATACATGCATATAAATCATGCTTACATGTACACATGTAGATATTATACATCTTTAATGCTTTTAATATTCTTAGAAGCTAGATATCTCAATTATCCCGTTTGCAGAAAACAGATTCGGGGTTTTGTGCCTCAGCTTGGTCCTTGGGAAAGACACTTCACAGGAATTTTCTAATTGGGTCGGTCCTTTTGACGTTTAGCTCGGATATCTCGCCGTCTTAAATGACCTAATAGTGTTGATAGGGGCGTTAAACCGATGTCATTTCTCATTTCACATAATATGCCGTTGGCTGAGAGCTGATGAAAATAGCCATATACACATTGGCAGATTTACGGTAAGTCTCGTCTTCAATCTTAAAGTCTTTGATGTGCTAGTAAACGTTTTATAGAGCTTGCAACAACATTTTGTTTTATAAGTGCCTAAGATTAGAGCTGTTACATACGAGTAACAAGCACACAAAAAGAAGATAATGACTATGGATGATTGAAAAAAAAAAGGAGTAAACCAGATCAGAGCACCAGTCAACCACCTATTTCTAAAGTTTACAAGTTGTGATAATGATAGGTGTGAGTTTGAAGAACAGTATTATACGAGTTATCCGGATAAACGATAAGTATTTCCATATTTAAAAAAAATGTAAAATAACTTCCACTTTATTGACCCCTTTTGGGGGATATTTGTTTTGCGATACACAAATGCATAGATCAGTATTCTTCCTCTTCTTCGGGTGTCAGATCTGGAGCAGACATTGACGATCATGGTACCATATTCCTTCCTGTTGTCTTTCTTCTAGATTAGCTCGGTTTTTCTCAATATCATATTATGTTATTCGTTGCTCAGGCCGTCTGTGTGTGCTAATCTTTGTCTTACTCTGCACACCTTTTCCACTTTATCTTTCAGTACAGTAACAATTTCTCTCATCCATTTGATCTATTTACAAGGCCAAAAAATCTCACTTGTCTTTTTCTGATGGTCTGATTATGGATCTGGTATATTAACACATTCATACATCAATACTACACAGTGTCATCACAACCAAGTCTTGTCTGAATGATACTGTAGAAGTTTACACGTTATAAATTTAGAAATGTTAAGATCCTTAAACTCTTAAAATGCTTTCCTGCAAGTAATATTAGTTCCTGGAGAAAACTGGACGTTATTCTGCTTGCTCTCTGTAATCTGTACACCAACTAAATGATTTAAATTGAGTCAAATAAGCCGTTAAACAACATACCCAAATGACCTCTGAATACAAAGAAACAACAACAGCAACAACAACAACAACAACAGCAACAACAACAACAACAAACAGAGAAACAAAAATATACACATATTAAAATCTTACACATGAGCAAAATTAAAACCGAAGGTACTGATCCTAAAACACTCCATTTTGCTGAGAATACAATGTGCGTCTGGCTTTTGACTGCTAAAGTTTCCTCTGTAGGTTTCCATGACCTTAACTTTGGACTGTAACCTATATTGTTAAAAAGTATTCATTTTCACTATCGGAAACACACGCGAAAACACCCACTGTTGTGTGTGGTCCAGTTAACTGTGATTTACGTTACTATCAACACCACATTGACTCGGCCCAGAGACCGGGGTCCCTTGGTTCATCTCACCAGGTTTAGTTAACGGATGCTGTGCTCGCTCAGTGGGGTACTACATTACAGTAAAACAACGCGGGTTTACTTTACTTACTTGTACTTTTTCTGGCTTCTGCTGTCTTGTGGTGCGGGTGGTTGGTGGATGTTACTAGTAGGTCCTACTTTTTTGCTTTTTCACTGTTGCTTCTGTCTTTCCTGCCTTACTTTTTTCCTCAGCACTAAATGACCATTGTTGTGTCGTATTATTTCAAATCACAGAAACAAGCAAACAAGAAAACAAACAAACAGACAAGGAAACAAAAACCTACCAACCAACTAACAAACGAATAACAAACAAACAAAACTACCTTGCGGAGTCGATGGGAGAGGTGAAAAAAAAATGGTGAAATGGTATGGGTTTAACGCCCCTATCAACACCATTAGGTTATTTAAGGGGCGGGACCTCCTAGTTTAACGTCCGTCTCCGAGATGGGAGAGGCAAATGCTTTCTTTTGTTTGTTGTATCGCTTGTTGCATGGTTATGTAGTCCTTGTGTTGTTTATTCTAAACTATTGAGAAACACGCAGAAAGCTCACAAGTTCATTCCCCTTCCCCAATCCCATCTTACCATCCTTGATGAGAGAAAGTATAAAAATAATGTACAAATGCATAAAATCTTTTTTTTTTCTCATATCTTTTCTTTTTCAGGTCTGACGGCCTATTTGAGTCTTTCATTGGGTGAGTAGCAAACAACTGTTGATTTTCTTGTATTTTCCCTGTGTTTGTGTGTGTGTATGTTTGTTTGTTTGTTTTTGTGTGTGTGTATGTGTGTGTATGTGTGTGTGTGTGTGTGTGTGTGTGTGTGTGTGTGTGTGTGTGTGTGTGTGTATTTCTATCTGTCTGCCATGCCCCCTTCACACAAATGCTGTTCTGTCAACACCCCTGGACTCACCTCACAACCCCCCCCCCCCCACCAACTCATTACTCAATCCATAACTTCCATACCTACTTCCTACACTATTTCATCTTCACACCCTGACTTACCTCCCAACCCCCACAACCCCTGGCCATCGATCATATATCATCCTTATCTTTCCTTCCCCTTCTCTTTGTATGTTTCGCTCTGGTAACACCTGTAATCTTCGGCACTCATATGGCATATCATTTTTGTTGCTGTTAAACTCTTACTTAAGCAAAAGAAACCCTGACCCACCCCACAACCCCACAACTCATCTCTTGTAACACCCTTAACCTTCGGCACTTGTGCAGAAAATGTCGTAAAACTCTTGTTACGCGTGCTCATGACATCATGCACTTGAGAGCGCCATAAAACACGGACCAAAAAACCTCTACAGCAAAACAACAACAACAAAACAACCACAACAAAAAATACATTTTGTTAAAACTAAAAACCCTGACTCAACCCCACAACCCCACTCCACCTTTTACTCCCTCCTCCCGCTCCCTCTTCCCCCAGCCACCTTCACCTGCCCCACCCTCTTCAACTTCTACCCGGATGCCAACGACTGCACCAAGTTCTACAGATGTTCCTGGGGCAAAGGTTATCTTTTCAACTGCCCGGCGGGAACCCGCTGGTCCCAGACCCTGCTCACATGTGACCACTCCTACAACGTGCCATGTGACAAGAAGCCAGTGGTCAAGGTGACCTATGACCCCCACTACGGCGTCGTGAAGGAGCCAGTACCCGAGGCCCAGGTCCCTGACTTCTCTGTTGATCACGATTCTGACAACAAGTACGGACATGACGACAAGGTCCACACCGGCCACTACGCCACCGGAAATTACGATTACGGTAACGGCCACTACAAGCAGCCCGAACACAAGCCCGTATACTGGGGAAAACAAGAATACTACCCCACCCAGATCCAATATCCTTCCACCCCCAGCTACCACCAGGTACAATACCCCAGCAAACCCGTGTATCGTCCCACTCCCGTTTACCACCACGAGCAGCCCGAATACCAGCAACCCGAATACCAGCAACCCGAATACCAGCAACCCGAATACCATCAACCCGAATACCATCAACCCGAATACCAGCAACCCGAATACCAGCAACCCGAATACCAGCAACCCGAATACCACCAACCAGAAAACCAGAAACCCGAATACCAGAAACCAGAATACCACCAACCGGAATACCAACATTACGGTAGCAGCGAGAAATACTACAAAGGCGAGGCCAAGGCTGAGCAAGACCGTTATTACTACTACAACTCTGGCGAGAAGGTGCAATACAGGCCCTACAACAACTTCGACAACCAGAAGCGTTATGAAGAACCCGTCCATGGAGTCCAGGTATCATACCATCTTTTTTTATTTTCTAAATATTATTGAGGTGTTTTATGTTCTCATCGACTCAGCTTAGATCGTTTTTAGAGGGCAGGCTTACTACCCTGCCTGTTAGGGCTGACTCGGGCTGAAAAAGATACATCTCAGCAGAAAGACCCAAATTCTCAATAAAAATTTCTTCCCGTTATCGAATTCCTCCCCCTCCTCCCAATCCCCCTCCCAATGCGTGTGACAGCGAGGCATCTAACTGCTGTACCACAGACGCCGGCCCCAATCGGCTGGTATTTTTTTGAGTTTACTATCAAAATATCATAGGGTTACTATCAGAATAGTGATTATGTAGCATCTGGCTGCAACTAGATTGCGGATGTTTGGAGGGTGCCACTGGTGGGTCCAACTTCTTCACTTTAACTCTGTTGTTTCTGTCTGTCTGTCTGTCTGTCTGTCTGTCTGTCTGTCTGTCTGTCTGTTTGTCTGTCTGTCTGTCTGTCTGTCTGTCTGTCTGTCTGTCTGTCTGTCTGTCAGTCTTTTTCGCTGTTCTAAATTATGTCCATCATTGTGTCGATGAACTTCTCTTTACTCAAACAAATAAACAAAGAGAGCCAAAATGCTGTATCTCTGGCGACGGTATAAAACTGCGTGATTGGAGGGCGCCACTGGAAGGTCCAAGTTCTCTACTTTTCTTCTATTGTTTCTGTCTGTCTGTCTTACCTTTTCCCAGTACTAAAATTAATGATCATTATTGCGTCGATGTGATTCTCTTTACTTAACTAAATCTCAAACTAAAACTAAAATTCTTATGTTATGTTATGTTATGTTATGTTATGTTATGTTATGTTATGTTATGTTATGTTATGTTATGTTATGTTATGTTATGTTATCTTGTCTTATCTTGTCTTGTCTTGTCTTATCTATCTTATCTTATCTTATCTTAGGTGACAACAGTCTACAAGCCCGTCTACAAGCCCGTCTACAAGCCCGTCTACCGCCCCGCCAACAGCTACTACCAGTACCTCAAACCCTCCCATGTGCCAAACACAGAGGAAACCAAAGTCGAATCAAACCAAAGATGGGGGCACTAAGTTATCTTATCGTGCTAAAAGAAGCACTATAAGCTTGCTAAACCATGAATTATTTTCCCGGTAAGGGAAAAAAAAGAAAAAGAAAAACAAAGAAAAAGAAATGCCACTCTCTCAAAGGCGATATCTTCTTCGCAACGCGTGGAGTGAAAGATCATTATTATTTCAATTATTGACATGATATTGAGTTTCGAAAAAATTATCAAGACATCAGCTAGCGAGGAAAACTCGACTATAATTTGTTGAGTGTGGGGGGGGGGGGTATGGTGTTTAATGCGTTGGTTTTCCGGCAGTTTTAGGTATACAATGAGCACAGCTGTAAGTTCTGCACATGACATATAATATAGATATTTATTATTTACTATTGTTTGACCTCTCCGTACGTCTATACTTGGTGCGGGAGTTTCATTGTTATTGAACGTTTTAAGACTTTTCACCATTATGTTATTGAAAAGTTGATTACAACTTTCTTGTAACAGTAGCTGCTCCAAAAGAATATCTTTTACAACATTAATCAAAACTGCCTTCACACCATTCGTCAGCCGTTAGAAATTCTTTGAGCGTTTTTAAAAACGAGTCCAAGCAATTAATGTTCAAGATAATTTTGCACTTAACTGCCATTCTCACCCTGTACCTCTTTAACTTGCACCGTTTTATTTGTATTATTCTGTTTTCCTTTCATTCTGTTGGTTATTAGTGTCCTGAAGTTGATTCTGTTTGTTGTATTTCACATTATCCTTGAATGGTAATCTTTAACTATTGCTTTCTGGATTGTTGTGTGTTACTTTTGTAACAAAATAATATACATTCCAACAAACCTTTCTATTGTTTTTGTTACAAATGCTGTTTTTCTAAATAAAAATAAACCTTCTACTGATGTCTAAAATGTGAGTTTTTTTCTGCTTTGTTTAAACTCCCAGAAACCTTTAGAATTGATTTACAAATACCATCCTTGGGTGAGTGTAGCGTAGTTATGAAATTGACCTTAAATATAAATCGACTATGTTCGAAACCAAATCGGAACATTAACTCTAGTCTTTCCACTCACATCTTTCTCTCTCATTATGAATTTAGAGGAGAAAAGAAAAGCACAAGCACCACAAAACATTTTCAGCTTCTTGTTTCTGAACTAGTAGGATGTCAGTAGATGCTCAACGCAACAAAGACTGACGACATCAAATTTCTCAAATAGAACGTACAGCTGTTTTATTATTATCACAGTGCCTAAAAACTCCCGAGAAAGAAGTCTATCAAAAATAAAGAGAGTGAAGCAGCTTGGGATAATTGCCTGGATCATGTCTCTTCCTATTTTACACCTCGATGAATACAGTTTAGAACTGCTACGACCTTCTCTGGGAATCGAACTCAAATCATATGACTGCAACGACAGAAAGTTACACTATAGACTCCTGAGACAACTTCCTGCACCCTTAACTTTTTTTGCAACCAGCGCATTGTCTGTCATTTAATTACAAAGAAAAACGGCGGATAGGTGGCGGGTGCTCTTGTGTGGGTTTTCTCCTCCTTTCCTATCAGACTATCGCCTTTATCTTTTGTCCTTCTTTTCTTTGCATGTTACCCCTTGTAATACCTCTACTGTTCGACACTTTTATGACCTATTTTTTGTTGCAAGTGCCGTAAAACTCTTACTTAAACTAAAAACTGATGATAAATGCACTGAGGTGAACGATTTAATGAATGACAAGCCCAGAACTTGAACTGTCTAGGGCAACCTGGTCTAACATTTAAAAAAAGCCAATCAAAATATGTAGGTATTTTCACATCTCAGTCGATTCAATTTAAATAATTTATGAAGCAGGCTTCGAACCTACCTGTCCAAGTCACCCCGGACTGAGAGGAATAAAACATCACAGCACAAAGACCTAGATGTTGGATAACAATTCTCCCTATACGAAGTCTGGTCTTCTGCGCGCTATGGTGAAGTGCCTAACCCCTACACCAAAGACTCTCTTGTCTGTGTGAGGAACAATGGAGCGCACACATAAACAACTTTACCATGTCGTGCCTAGATTAAGTTAACGAAAACCTTCAGGTCTCTTCAGAAGGGAATTACGTATTTAGAATAAAAGTAACTGCATTTATATAATGGCACCCAAAAAAACCTTGAAAAAGTCTTTGTATTTCCCCGCTCACGCGGCATACCAATTTAAAGCTAGATAAATTTTGCATCATCTGACACATTAAAATCTGGTATATTTTAAAAGACGCCCGAGATATGGTCGCCTTGAAAAATCAGGCTTGGCAAAATTGTGCGAAATCAGAGAAACGTCAAAGTGTGTACGCGCCTAGAATGAAGTACATTGTACATCAGCATTGGTGGAATGAACATGTTTTGAATATGAAAGGTAAAGAGAATATATTTGTCTCTGCATTTGACGGCATCTTTTGATGATAATATTTTCAAACAAATTGGAAAAATGAGCTGTTAAAGATAACTCGCAAAACTTGATGTGCTCATTAATAATACTGGTTTTGTTTAGGAGCTATTGATTTCGTGCAGACCACCAAACCTTTTTTTGCAAATGGACTATGTTAGTTACATTTTGGACAAAATCATCTGTCAGTGTGGAAAAGTGGCCACAAAACTACAATGACTTTGGGTGGTCTGGGGTGGAATGAACAAAACTGCCCTCATGTAAACCACCGGGGGGTTATGTTCAGTGGACTACATCACGCTAGTAAACCATTATTTTCGCCAAAGTGTCATTCCAGTAGACATCTCCATGCATTGCAAAGCACTTTTTAACAGGCCAATGCCACGAGACAACTCTTAGAAAACTAAATCCAATCAACGTTGGAGTGGTCACCAGCAAACAGCCACAATATGAATCCTACAGATATGTGAAGTCCCACGAAACAGCAGCTGAAGAAAAGCAACTTTGCAGCTAATTTCAGACCCTCTGTTTACAACTCTCCGTGACATTTGGGTGAAATGACCAATAGATATGTCCAAAGTTTAAAGGAGTCGATGCCTAAAGGGCTCATGCACTGTACGAAACCAGAGGTTACTAAGCAAAATAACAATGAGCACATTTAATGCAAAGTTCAAGTTTAGTGTAGCGTTTGTGATTGCTTTTGTTTTCCGTTCTGTTTGAAACTATCGTAGTAAAACATCGTAATAACATTTTTTTAAAAATTGCAGAGACAAAATTCTCCATTCATTGGACATGCAATGTATGTCCATTCTATCAATATTGATGCTCCTCAATTCACGTACGAAGGCAGTTTTACGATTTTTTGATTACGTACTATTTTGCCGATCTTGATTTTTAAAGGTCAACTTTGAGAGACCATATCTCTCATGTTTCTAAACATAAATGAATTATTAATGTGTCTGACGATGCAGAATGTATTTAGCTCTAAATTGGTATGTTGCATGAGTTGGTAACACAAGACTTTAAAACGATGATTGGGTGATTGCATTTTCAAGTTTCTCTTGGACGCCACTGTATAGCGCATATTCATGCTCAAATGCATGCTCTATGCGCTTTAAACTTATTATTACCCCAACAGACCCTAAAAAACTCATGCAAAGCAAGCTGCAGATTTCATGCACCCAAAAACAAACAAACTGACAAGATCTGTCACTGTCTATAGCCGGGTACCCCTTTCAAAATGGGTGAAGTGAGGAAAATTCGTGTAAAGTACCCAATACACATAAAAAAGATAGCCTTGTCTTCTCAGAAGAGATCTGAAGGTTTTCTTGAGCCTAATCTAGGTAAAGTAATCCGTTTATCTTTGTGTAAATCCAATTGTAACGACCAACACATCATTTTCTCTCAACCACTGTCGGCAATTTTTCACGATTCAATGTACTCCCCGAAATCCTCGAGTCTAACCTAGCCCGGTTGTCATCTTTGACGCTGGAAACAGCTTTCCATTTTTGTCATCCAAATGTCTTTACTAAGATGTTTTGTTTGTTATTAGACTTCAAGTGTAAGGTGCCATCTATTTATCTTTGTGTGCATCTAGTTGTAACAGCCAAAATATTGTTTTCTTTTAACACGTGTCTGCAATTTTAAAGAAATAATTGTACATCCTAAAATCTAACCAAGCGTAGTTTTTATAACTAATGCTGGAAACAACTTTTCGTTTATGTCATTCAAAGGTCTTTAAAAGACTGTTTGATACAGTCCATTTATGTTTCTGCATATAAAATTATAACGACGAACACACGATTTTCTTTCAGCCCATTTCTGCAAATTTAGAGGAGTCATTGTACATCTAAGACTCTGACCAATACATTTGTGTTAGTGCATATCTAATTTTAGCGACCGACACTTCATTTTCTTTCAGTGCTTTTCTGCAATTTTACAGGAACCATTGTCATCTTAGAATGTAACCAAGTCATCTTAGGTGCTGGAAACAGCTTTCCAATTTTGTCATCCAAAGGTATTTAGTAAGTCCTTATGTTGGTTGTTATATACCAAATGTTGGATTCAATCCAGTTATATTTGTGTTCAGCTAGTTATAACCACAAAGATATAATTTTCTTTTTGTCCTTGTCTGATTCCTTGTCTTGCCTCACCTCACTCACCAATCCTACAATCTCACACCGGAAAACAGTTAAGTTACAGTTGAGGATACATTCCTTGACTGTACAGGGAAACAACATCCTGTTTGCATTTCTACCTAGCCATGTGGACATCCGAGGAAACGAGCAGATCGATCTCCTGGCGAAGGAATCCTTGTCCCTTCTGTTGGAATCAACTGAGAACACCCTCCCCCCAGACAGACTTAATAAAACAAGATCAAAAGTTCACGTCCTGTCTGTGTGAGAAACACTGGAGTGAACTATTAAATGTCAAACTTCACAGTGTAATGCCTTAACTCGGACCATGAAAACCCCTGGGCCTCTCAGGAAGACTGGAAGTTATTTATACTAGATTATATGTATTGTTAGATACTATGATGAGCTATTTAAAATACTGGAAAAGCTAGACATAGATGGAAAAAATCTGAGAATTGTCATGAATTTGTAC